CTCTTGTCTGACATCCTTTGCCCAGGTGGACGACAGTTGAATATAGTCTTGGTTTTCCCAGTAGGGCATGCCCAAAGGTTAACAGCGACAAAGCCTCGCTTTGCTATATAGTCCGTATACACCCAACATACATTCATGCCGCATTTCCTGCATTTGCACTTTGCCATCGTGAATCTCTACCAGTACTTCTGAGTACTTCTTTCTTGTTTTGAATTGTACGTTGAACTCATTGGATTTCTTTGTATTCTGTATCTCGTTATCGTTATATTTCCCTCTAGCCCTCTCGCTTAGGATGAGCTTTCTTTTTTATGGCAGCTTAAGCGAAGGCTATATACCTGCTTTATGCGGGTTGATGCCAACGCGAACAAGCAAAATAATAATAATAATAACTTCTGAGGTAGCAAGCTGAGTTTCATACATAACGTTAGATCTACTGAATAGGTAATTATTTACCTGTATGCCATAAGCATCAGCAGCTTCGGACTTGGATTTGAATCATCTTTCATGATAGTTGAGTGAGAGACACCTTTTGTCAAAAATTGCAGTTTCTGACCTTCACCTTTTTGGCTAATCTCTTCTTCAGCCCTGCTACTTTGACGGTGTGACAGACTCATTGCTGGCATCGGTGACCAGCCTAGGGTTTCGACCTGCCGTAGAATATGCTCGCTGGCTCTTGGACGTCCTTCAAGCATCCATTGAGGGATATTTTACCTCATATGAATTTACAAATTCGATTTTTCAGCGAATTTTTGGGTAGTCTGCCACCTTAAGGGGGTTCGCGACGGTTAGCGCCATGTTGGATTGTGTTTTGGATTGTGTTTTGTTGCCCGTAAAAGAGGCTTTTGGATCATCAAAATCATCATCATCATCATCATCAGGTTGTGCATACGTGGGGCTCGGTCACGGTACCACCATCCGGCGAGATGTTTTCATGATGTCTCGATTGCCGTGGCCGAGTCAGGTCTAGTTTGTTAAGTATCGTGCTGTGTCCTGACTGTGCATGCGTGATTGGTATGGCGCTTACCCTTTTGTTGCTGTTTTGTTGCTTTCATGCCTTTAAGCATGTAATTGTGTTCAATTGTTGTATTTCATGGAAAAACGATCTTTGCGTTGGATTCATTTAAACTATTATTTGTGTAGGGTTCCACTCCTTCATCTTGGGAAATTGTGTTTTGTTTGCCCAAAGAAGTGGCTTCATCATCATCAAAAAAAAAAAAAAAAAAAAAAAATCATCATCATCATCATAATCATCATGCTGTGTCCTGACTGTGCATGCGGGATTGGTATGGCGCTTACCCTTTTGTTGCTGTTTTGTTGCTTTCATGCCTTTAAGCATGTAATTGTGTTCAATTGTTGTATTTCATGGAAAAACGATCTTTGCGTTGGATTCATTTAAACTATTATTTGTGTAGGGTTCCACTCCTTCATCTTGGGAAATTGTGTTTTGTTTGCCCAAAGAAGTGGCTTCATGATCATCATAATCATCATACATCTCAATCTTCGGGAGGTAGCTATTCGTCGTTGATGGGTTATTATCGTTGTGGGGTGTCTTTCGCGCTGCTACGTTCCGCTGTGTTGTGTGTCAGGGGTGCTCGATCGGCCCGTCACCGTCCAGTTCACATGCTTCGTGAGTTGGCGATGGTGGAGGGTCGGGTTCCCCTGCAGTGATTGGTGCTGCACCGAGCTAGTTTGGTGTGAAAGTGTAACTATTGTTATTATTCTTATATTTACATCAAGTATTACTAAATAATTGAGAGGCTTTGAATCGTTTTTATCAAAATCAAAATATTTTCCGGGTTGGAAGGTGGGATCAAAAAATCATCATCATCATCATCATTTTTTGATGTAAGGGTGTTTAATCCTGACGCTTCTTCCTACGCGTCCCGAAGCCTGGACGCGCTCTTCCGGCAACATGAGGGCGCTACGAGACTGCAATATCAGGAGAGAGTAGTCAATGTTGAGCGTGGTGCCTTTGCACCTCTTGTGTTTTCCGTGAATGGGGCTGCTGCGCCGGCATCCACGGCCTTCCTCAGGCGCCTTTGCCTCCTTACATCTCAATATTCGGGAGGTAGCTATTCGTCGTTGATGGGTTATTATCGTTGTCGGGTGTCTTTCGCGCTGCTACGTTCCGCTGTGTTGTGTGTCAGGGGTGCTCGATCGGCCCGTCACCGTCCAGTTCACATGCTTCGTGAGTTGGCGATGGTGGAGGGTCGGGTTCCCCTGCAGTGATTGGTGCTGCACCGAGCTAGTTTGGTGTGAAAGTGTAACTATTGTTATTATTCTTATATATACATCAAGTATTACTAAATAATTGAGAGGCTTTGAATCGTTTTTATCAAAATCAAAATATTTGCCGGGTTGGAAGGTGGGATCAAAAAAAAAAAATCATCATCATCATCATTGCTGAGCATGGTTTTTAATTATCCAAGGGAGACTTTCGCGATACCATTGCGTTACGCTATGACTGGCCGCTGCGTGACACCCCTGCTGTATGTGCTTGCGGGGCGGGTTTTTCCACGAGCCATGCTTTGAATTGTGTTTTTGGTGGATTCTCAACTCTTCGACACAATGAACTACGAGATCTGTTCGCTGTTGCCTTGACCGAGGTTTGCTCCAGTGTGTCTGTGGAGCCACCTCTCGCCCCTGTCGAGGGTGAGGTTTTTCAGGCCAGGTCGGCGAACACCTCTGTCGAGGCTCGCCTTGATGTGAGCGCTCGAGGCTTCTGGACGCGTGGGCAAGATGCATTTTTTGATGTAATGGTGATTAATCCTGACGCTTCTTCCTATGCGTCCAGAAGCCTGGACGCGCTCTTCCGGCAACATGAGGGCGCTAAGAGACGTCAATATCAGGAGAGAGTAGTCAATGTTGAGCGTGGTGCCTTTGCACCTCTGGTGTTTTCCGTGAATGGGGCTGCTGCGCCGGCATCCACGACCTTCCTCAGGCGCCTTTGCCACCTTACATCTCAATCTTCGGGAGGTAGCTATTCGTCGTTGATGGGTTATTATCGTTGTTGGGTGTCTTTCGCGCTGCTACGTTCCGCTGTGTTGTGTTTCAGGGGTGCTCGATTGGCCCGTCACCGTCCAGTTCACATGCTTCGTAAGTTGGCGATGGTGGAGGGTCAGGTTCCCCTGCAGTGATTGGTGCTGCACCGAGCTAGTTTGGTGTGAAAGTGTAACTATTGTTATTATTCTTATATTTACATCAAGTATTACTAAATAATTGAGAGGCTTTGAATCGTTTTTTATCAAAATCAGAATATTTGCTGGGTTGGAAGGTGGGAATCATCATAACATTCATCATAGAACAGCCTCTTGTACGGGCAAGCAAAAACGCAATACCGGTACATCAAAATTCAATTAGAATGAAAGGAGAGGAAAATGAACACAAAGTGCATCATCATCATCATCATCATCGAGCTTATTTTGTGTGAAAGTATATATTAATTTTTACAAAGAGAAAGACCAAGGAACTAAAAGTTACGCTATACTGTCCACTAACACCACCAGTTACTAAACAATCAGCTCATGCGATAACATTGCACGACACTGACCGACGGTACTGACGTTCTACAACTAACTGGCTAACAGCTCTTGCACATCTTGGAAGGGCACTCCAAAAGCCTTCCAACTTGGAAGGTTCTAAGTTATAGAAATAACATAAGGAGGGGAAGGTGAGCGCAACCAAGATAAGTAAGAGCTGAAAGGCTCAGCTGTGAAGGACGTTGGCGGATGTTCATGCATGTCGATGACGACACTGGCAAGACCATTTGACAATACGGTCAAACCACGATTCAGGAACGCAAAGCCACATTCCACACAAATTGTGTGGCTCAAAAGATGCGAAGATCAATAAAAGGGGAAGCTATGCGAACAAGAATCATCAAAAACCGAACGCCTCTGTAAAACAGCACTGTACTTCGACTACGACAATTTAGATGGACAATAAGCAGCGGTAACAAGCAGCGGTAACAAGCAGCAGTTTCACACGAAGATCGTTTCGCCGTATAGATAAAGACGGCTCATCAGGTGTGCAGGAATGGACTCAGATGGAGAGCCAAGGTTTAATTTATACAAAGAGAAAGACCAAGGAACTACAAGTTACGCTATACTGTCCACTAACACCACCAGTTACTAAACAATCAGCTCATGCGATAACATTGCACGCCACTGACCGACGGTACTCACGTTCTACAACTAACTGGCTAACAGCTCTAGCACATCTGGGATGCGCACTCCAACAGCCTTCCAACTGGGAAGGTTCTAAGTTATAGAAATAACATAAGGAGGGGAAGGTGAGCGCAACCAAGATAAGCACGAGCTGAAAGTCTCAGCTGTGAAGGACGTTGGCGGATTTTCTAGGTTCTAGGTGTAATGTACTGCTGTTATTTGTTATCACTTTGTCCTTCCTTCCTTCTTTCTCTTCTTTGTTCATTTTTCAGTTCCAAATTTAGTGTTAGTACACGCATTCGTTATTGCTCTCGCTTTCATTGTTAAAAGTCACACTTGTAAATTTCACTGCTGTTGTTCTTAGTGTTATTTCTCTAACTTAGGTTTTCTATAATAGTTCAATTTTTGTTTCAGTGTCCTTTAGTACAACGAATATTCCTGATGAGTGTTGTACGGAAACTTGTTCGAATCCTTATTTTCTCTGCACCATTTCTTCACATTTTCATCGTTTTATTGCACATTGTCTCCACAGTTTTCCATTACATGAATAAAGTGTACACAAATGTCGATCCAGCTTGTATTACTGATTGCGCTTATATGTATACTTCAAGTATTACAAAATCACTGAGTGGCTTTGAATGGTTTTTATCAAAATCATCATCATCATAAAAAATCATCGTGTATAATTATCATGTATAAAAAGACTCTTGTACGGGCAAGTCAACATGCATATCATCAAACTTAAGTGATTGCGGAAATCAACTCAAAATAAATAATTGGACACAAAGCAATAATTATAACATTGATATTATTGTTTCACTGGCTTCAAAGCTATAATCACCGCCGACCATGTTGCTCCATCAGGTGATCATGGCCGCGTTCCTGATGGCACTTAGCACAAGGTAAAAATCCTAGCATAAGGAGGCACAAACACGTACAAGACAAGAAACACGTACAAAACAGCAATCAGATACAGAATAGAGGCAGATCTGAACGCTACTGGCGAGTAAAGAACCTGCATTCTGCAAGTGTTGCATGTTGAACAGACGAAGCTACAGTCATGTGAATTAAAAATTCTATCGTTTGCCTCCATTTATAGTCTACTCTAAAAGAACTAAGAGAACTTGAGACAAGAAATACGAACAAAAATCTGGAAACACGCAGTGGCCAATAGGAATATGCAAACTCACCTTACACTCTGGGCAATGGAAACGACTTCCAATAATTTCAGCCATGCATGTATTGCAGCGGTAGCCGATTACATTTTCATTGCACTGGCTTTGCAGCTCGATGAGCATGCACAGTGTAGCGTACTGCGCGTGCCGCAAAGTTGAAAACTCAAGATGGTTCGTACGACAGTAGGCAAGAAATGAATCCCGACACTCCATCATATTGCCGCTTTGCAGCTCGTCCACATCCTCCTCCATGAGCTCAAAGTCTGCAACCTTTTCTGAAGAAATCAGCGTGATGGTGAAGAATGCCTGCCCAAAAGGAACAAGAATAAAGGTAATGTAAGGAAATTTTGCCAGCAACGAATACAAGAAATCAGCGTAGGCGATAATACCAGCAACACTCAAGGAGCTATTAATCTAGAAGAACTAAGAGAACTTGAGACAAAAAATACAAACAAAATCTGGAAACACACAGTGGCCAATATGAATATGCAAACTTACGTCACACACTGGGCAATGGAAACGACTTCCAATAATTTCCGCTATGCAGGTATTGCAGCGGTAGACGATTACATTGCACTGGCTTTGCAGCTCGATGAGCATGCACAGTGTAGCGTACTGCGCGTGCCGCAAAGTTGTAAACTCGAGATGATTCTTACGAAAGTACGCAAGAATTGAATCCCGACTCTCCATCACATTGCTGCTTTGCTGCTCGGCCACATCCTCCTGCATGGGTTTAAGGTTGGCAACCTTTTCTGAAGAAATCAGCGTGATGGTGAAGAATGCCTGGCCAAAAGGAACAAGAATAAAGCTAATGTAAGGAAATTTTGGCAGCAACGAATACAAGGAATCAGCGTAGGCGATAATACCAGCAACACCCAAGGAGCTAGTAAGGCCGTCATCACACTTCGTTCTCTGGCTTCCCCTTACGTCTGCGTCCACAGTGAAAAATCCAAAACGGGTAGTCGTGTCATCAAACAGGCACAGTTCTTGACCAGTACACGCGGTCACGTTTTGGAGAAATTTGAAGATTCGCACGTACAAGGTGGCCTGGAAACAGACTGTGGGAGATACACCCTTTATTACAAAAAAAGTGGCCCACTCCCTACCACGTCTACTTTTCCCGTTTCTTCTGCTCCCGCTTTCACTTCATACATGGATCATCATGACAACCGACCAAAACCTTATGTGGATGTAGACACAGCGCTTTGTACCGTAGTGTGATGACAGCGTAACAGCTGGGGCATAAACTAAGATACTAGTAGAAGGTTCAACAAGAAATGGTTTCAATAAAAGAGTAACACCCGAAGGCAATAATTTTACAAACTAATACCATTATGAACTTAGAAGTTGCGACTTTGGCGGTACTAGTCATGAAGTTGGTTGCTCCAACGAGGAGCACAAACTTCTTGTCGAACTTTACACACTGTGTATTGAGCAGGCAGTGGTGCTTTCTTTCAGGTTTGCCGAGCAGAAGGTGCTACGTGCTCCTCGTGTGCTCCGGATGGCAATTGTGAGTCAGTCAAGTGTCAAGTTCGGCAAGAAGCGTGTGCTCCTCGTTGGAGCAGCCAACTTTAGTACCATTATGACACACCAATATACTCTACAAAATAAGTCACTTTTAAACATCGAATGTTACGTGCAGAAATTCATTTTAATATTCAGATACAAGGGCATACGTTTTCGATAGCCACCTCGCATAATCAAAGGACGACAGAGAGAGTGTCATAATTTGCAATCACCTGTGTCCCACAGATGAAGCTGTATATTCTGATATGCTTACAGTGTGTACGTCGCAAACTTGCCTCACCCAATGCCAGGCTTGCACTGTAAATAGAGAGAGTATTGCGACAACCTAAACTGTAGGACTGAAACGAACACAATTTCTCAGCAATCGAACGTTCTTGACTCTAACGAAAGAACCAACGAACAAATGTTCTTGATTGATAATATTCATGCAAATCGTCAGTTTTCTGACAAGGGCATGAATACCCCGCCACATGATACAGGCAAAAAAGTATGCTTCAGGGAGGAAACAATCGCCATTGACATAAAAACCTTCAGCGACCTTGCTTCGCTCTCCGTTGAGAGCAACATCGCCCCAGAAACGCTGTCAGATGGCTCCGTAAGGTTGCACGCTGATTGTAATAAAACATTTGTGTCGAGAATATTGGGAAAAAAATTTCAGTTCTAACATTCGTTACCTCACAAATGTTCATTCTGCAAAGCTAAATTAACGAATATTTGAATAGTCGAGATTTCAGCCCTATACTAAAGCATGTCTCATGCACGGCTTTCCCTTCCCAACGGTGCATGATTCTCCCACAATTGCGAATTTCGACCAAATTATTGATTACGAAATTTCCCATGTGGGCCATTTTGTGGGTAAAATGGCTAAATAAGGCTTTTGAGAAGAATATCATAACTTGTCATCTTGATTTTGATTGTGAAGGGCTGCACTAAAACTGATTTCTTGCTCATGATATTCAACTCCGAAGAAACAATCAAGTTAGAAACAAATCTAAAACATGCATTTGCAATCAAACCAGTCGTCGCACTCCACGAGACACAGGTATACGCAATGCAAAGAAAGAATGAAACCATGGACCTACACTTTTATCCTTCTCTAGCCGGGCCAGGACAAGCGCAGCGAAATCTTTTCTCTTCCGTGCCGTTGCCGGCTTGCTCTTCTTCTTTCGGCCGTACTGCGGCTGGGAGCATCCCTTCTTGCCATTCTTCTGCTTGACATCATAGCAATACAGGCAGACAACAACAGACCACGGTCATCATAGCAATACAGGCACACAACAACATACCACGGTCATCATACCCCTCACACACCTAGCCAATAAAAAAAATCATCCACATGGATCACTGCATTCTCAATCAAATATTGTCTAGTTTTCTTTTCTTTTCCTTTTCACTTATCCCGTTATCAGCCCTCTTAAGAGTTGTGTATATCCCTGTTGAGGCATCCGATGGTAAGAAAAATAAATACTACTACTAGTCGTTGACAAGTGACGGGTCTACGGCTTCAGGAAGGCATTGGCTAATGAAATAAAGCTCTCACTACTTGGCGGGGGATTGGCAGACGCCAAGCCTTAAGCTAGCGTATGGTTTGTCTTATTCCCACACCGAGGACACCTAAGGTATCTTCCCAGTTCAAGAGCAGCGTAGAGCCCCTTGCTATGTTATTGATGAGGTAATATTTCAATGGCAAGTATTTCAGAATCACTACAGTATCCTTAATGTAAGTTTTGACCCTCAGGCAGCCTCCTTCTTATCTAGTCCGAACCTTTAAGATTTGATCAAGATGAAAGAACGTTGAGTAATAATACAAAGAAGTTGGAGTGCAGAGCAGTGCAAGTTGAGGAATGGCTGTCATCACATTGTTGTTTTGCATAACTTAAGAAACGGTTTTTTTAGTAATAAATTCGGCGATAATTATATGAAAGTTCGTTGCTCTCAATGTTCGAGCTTTCATCTTTCCCACTTTTCTGTAAAAACATAATGAGTCCGCTGAATGGAAAAGTGGGAAAGGTGCAAGTTCGAACATTGAGAGCAACGAACTTTCTTATAACTATTGCCGAATTTGTCACCTTCATCCCATGCACTCCATCATCTCAGCGGCATTGAAAAAAGACAAATTGCCAACAACCATAAGACGAACAGCGGCTGGTACCCAAATGCCATCCAACCAGTGGTAAAATGTTTGAGATGGAGTTGAATTCGAGAGAGAGATGTAAACCATCAGTCCTGCTCTACACAGAAGATAATGCATACCTCGGCCTCAGCTGCGATCTTCTCCGCTTTTTCCTCCTGGGCGATCTTCTCACACACTTTAGGCCAGGAATCACCCTCAAAGTATGGGATACCGGTCGGTACGCTGACTTGATCTTGAAGTGTAGACTGGTGAATATCCTGAAAGATCAAAAAAGTGAGAAAGGATAAACAACATTAGATTGCCAGTATAACAATAGGGATCAAACGGCTACGGTTTTCACCTTAACGGTTAACTGCTACGCTAACAGTCGATTTATCGGAGTACAACCTATAAGCTAGAGCAGTACGGCGTGTAGCTAGTTTGAACAGTATAGTACAATATCCTTGTTTGAAATGTACCGTGCAGAATTACTACTAATACATACAAATGTCTGCATGCTCATTCACATAGATTCACAGATCAGAAGCATTAGAAAGATGTCATGAAGTTGATTCAAATTGTCATGAAGTTTCAAATTGTAACGGAAGGTACTATGTAGTGTACATTTATACATGTGTGCGTTGGATACCCTTTCGTTACACTTGGATAATCTGTATGTACTCCCATGTTGTTTGATACCCTTTGGATGAGGTATCGGTGGCAGGTAACTACTCTTGCTACTCTGGAAATCAACAAATTTTGGCCGGTGAGAAACTTTGGCCGATTTAGAAAAGATCGTTTAATAGTGGTTGCCCTCACGTGCAGCCATGGCTGAATTATGCATCATTTGCCTCGATGACAAATTTTGGCCTGCGGTTAACTTTGGCCAATTGGCACCAAGCGGCGGAATCAGCGAAATAAAATTGCCAGCGAAAATGAGTTGATTTAGAGCACTTACGCGAAACTTGATAACAACTTTTCGAGCAACTGCACTGTCCAGCTTTGTCTTGTACCACGGTATTAGAAGCTGGTGTGTGAGTATCCTTTGCCCAGGTGGATGACAGTTGAAAATATAGTCTTGGTTTTTCCCAGGAGGGCATGCCCAAAGGTTAACAGCGACAAAGCCTCGCTTTGCTACATAGTCCTTATAGGCGATAAGCAGCTAATAATACACTTGAGTACGCAACTGCTTTGGCCGGAAGAAATGGACACTGTCCAGATACGAAAGGTATAAACGCCTACAATGAAAATACGCAAAGAACAGAGAGCAAGAAAACACCCAGTACACAATTTACCGCCATGGGCATGTGCCTACTCAGTCTGGCGACACTGGGCAACAAACGAGTTCAACCGCCGCCTGTCACTGTATGATGCACGGCATCCTCTGAAACACGCGACGGCCCATCTAAGCAAACAAAATGATAACCTTGTCCTCAACAAGCCCATCTCCACTGAATAGTACAGACTGCTGTTCCGCTCCACGAACAGCGAGGCTAAGGATTTTAGTAAAACCGTTACCTTCATTGGCTTCAAAGCTTTAATCACCGCCGACCATGTTGCTCCATCGGGTGATAATGGCCGCGTTCCTGATGGCACTTAGCACACAGGTCATAATCCTAGCATATGGAGGGACAAACACGTACAAAACACAAACACGTACAAAACAGCAATCAGATGCAGAATGGAGGCAGATCTGGACACTACTGGTGAGTAAAGAACCTGCAATCTGCAGGTGTTGCATGTTGTACAGAAGAAACTACAGTCATGTGGATTAAAAATTCTATCGTGTACGTCCAGTCTTCTCTAGAAGAACTAAAAGAATTGAGACAAGAAATTATTATTATTATTATTACTTGCATGTACGCGTTGGAGTCAACCATGCAAGCATGATCCACAACTTCGCTTATGCTGAACATGATAAACAGGACTATGACAGGGGAAAGAAATTGAGCTAGAACGATGATACAATGATATAATTATCATATACAATGTAGCTCATGGGTATTGAAGATATGTCATTTATGAATATGTCTTTAATTATGTCATTGAATATTGCAGCCTGAGTGATAATAATAGTGCTATTTCCTGAGTTTGACTGTTTCAGGACCTGTCGGAATATCACGATGCACAGATCTTCATGCATAGATCTCGCCATGCGGGTCGGTCATGGGCAATGGCTCGCAGGCTCTGCAGAGCGTCTAAGTTCCCGAGCAATCCGGCATTGGCTTGGCGCAGATCTCCCACCAATGCCTGCGGCAGGGTCGTCCGCGGTCTACCCCTCCAGCATTTCTGTTGCTGATTGGCGAAGTACGCGAACATAGCCATAACAGCTGGAGATTCATCTGCCATCCGCAGGATGTGGCCAAACAGCCTCCAGCGTGATCTCTTGACCATGACACTCAAGGGTTCAGCTTCGCATCTGGCATAGAGAGCATCATTCGGTATTATTTGTGGCCATTTCACACCGATGAGTGACCTTAGCTGACGGCGGTGGAAGGAATCCAGGCGGGACAGAACGGTCACACTGACCCCCCACGTACCCGAGTTGTACGTCAGTACTGGAACAATAAAAGTGCTGTACAGCCGCAGACGCAACTTCTCGCTGATGTGCTGATGCCTCTTCCAGAGGCTCCATAGGGACTGAAATGCTGCAGTCGCCAGCTGTTTTCGTCGCATAATATCCTCTTCGTCGCCCAGCAGCGAACCCAGCTTGCGCGTTGTCCTCCACTCTTCATCGATCCTGTCCGCACTTCTGAAGATGTCCGTATACTCAGTTTTGTCCCGGTTCATGATCAGGGACCACTGTGGTAGCACCGTGCTGGCAGTCGCCTCCACGTCCGCCAGCCAGGACTTTGAGGTGCTGACAAAGTCTGCATCATCCGCATATACAAGTTCGAGCGGCAGACCGTTGTCGCTGAGAGGTCTTGCTGGCACCTCTTGCCTTAGTTGTCGGAGCGCAGCCTCCAGGTAAACCGTGAAGAGAACGGGGGAAAGGCAATCCCCCTGTGGCGTCCCCTTCGTTGTAGCAAATGATTCCGACTGGCACCTCCCAAGCTGAACACGAAGTCTGGTGTTAGAGATCAAGACCCTGATCAAGCGAACGTCATCGTCACTCAGAAACGCCTCCAGAACAGTCAGCAAGGTGTCTCGCTTGATCGTGTCAAAAGCCTTCGACAGATCAATGCCCAACAGGTGAACGGTGCTGTGGTAGCGCTGGGTCTTTGCCACAAGCCATCGATGCGCCCATACCACATCCGCGGTGGATCGGCCAGGGCGGAAGCCGCTGTGCGTCTGGGCTAGGTACTGGTCAACCTTGGGTCTGACTCGAGCTAAAGTGAGGAGTGACAGGGTCTTCCGCAGCGTGTTGAGAAGAACTATCGGACGTAAATTTGATGGTGGTCCCAGCGGCTTGTTGGGTTTCTGAAGTGGGATCAGACTGCCACTGCCTATATCAACCACCTCGTGTTGCTCAAACATGCCGTTGAAAATGCTGGTCAACACAGGAGCCAAAGCATCACTTGCATACTTCATCAGTTCTGTGGGGATACTGTCGTCTCCTGCGGCACGGCCATTGTTCAGTTTCCCGAGACAGCCTGCAATCTCTGAAGATGTAATGGGAGTTTGCAGAGGACGTGGCTGTCCCTGGAACGGTGAGATGTCTGTGGCGCTTGGTGAGCTGAACTGACTTGAGAAATGGCTTCCAATTGCCTCAGCTGCTTCCTCCTCGTTTACTATGATTTTTCCGGTGTTGTCAGCAACTGTAGGCTTCACAGCTCCACGTCTCCGCATTAACTGAACAGCTTTGAACATTCGAGCACCGTCCCGCAACTTCTCCACCTCCTTTGCCTTTTCGTCCAGCCGTAATTCTGCTTCCTTCAGCGCTGTTCTTCTGATGCTGTGAAGAATGCGGTTGCGTTCCTTCTTCAGGCCTGCCCGAGTACCGGTGTTGGTGATATTTTCGATACGTAATTTTAGTTCTTTTTGAGCCTGAGACAGTCGGCGCAGTTCAGACAAGAAATACGAACAAAAATCTGGAAAACATACAGTGGCCAATAGGAATATGCAAACTTACGTCACACACTGAGCAATGGAAACGACTTCCAATAATTTCAGCCATGCAGGTATTGCAGCGGTAGCCGATTACATTGCACTGGCTTTGCGGCTCGATGAGCGTGCACAGTGTAGCGTACTGCGCGTGCAGCAAAGTTGTAAACTCGAGATGATTCTTACGAAAGTACGCAAGAATTGAATCCCGACTCTCCATCACATTGCTGCTTTGCTGCTCGGCCACATCCTCCTGCATGGGTTTAAGGTTGGCAATCTTTTCTGAAGAAATCAGCGTGATGGTGAAGAATGCCTGGCCAAAAGGAACAAGAATAAAGCTAATGTAAGGAAATTTTGGCAGCAACGAATACAAGAAATCAGCGTAGGCGATAATACCAGCAACACCCAAGGAGCTAGTAAGGCCGTCATCACACTTCGTTCTCTGGCTTCCCCTTACGTCTGCGTCCACAGTGAAAAATCCAAAACGGGTAGTCGTGTCATCAAACAGGCACAGTTCTTGACCAGTACACGCGGTCATGTTTTGGAGAAATTTGAAGATTCGCACGTACAAGGTCGCTTGGAAACAGACTGTGGGAGATACACCCTTTTATACAAAAAGTGGCCCACTCCCTACCACGTCTACGTTTCCCGTTTCTTCTGCTCCCGCTTTCACTTCATACATGGATCATCATGACAACCGACCAAAACCTTATGTGGATGTAGACACAGCGCTTTGTACGGTAGTGTGATGACAGCGTAACAGCTGGGGCATAAACTAAGACACTAGTAGAAGGTTCAACAAGAAATGGTTTCAATAAAAGAGTAACACCCAAAGGCAATAATTTTACAAACTAATCCCATTATGAACTTAGAAGTTGCGACTTTGGCGGTACTAGTCATGAAGTTGGTTGCTCCAACGAGGAGCACAAACTTCTTGTCGAACTTGACACACTGTGTATTGAGCAGGCAGTGGTGCTTTCTTTCAGGTTTGCCGAGCGGAAGGTGCAACGTGCTCCACGTGTGCTCCGGATGGCAATCGTGAGTCAGTCAAGTGTCAAGTTCGGCAAGAAGCGTGTGCTCCTCGTTGGAGCAGCCAACTTTAGTACCATGATGACACACCAATATACTCTACAAAAAATAAGCCATTTTCAAACATCGAATGTTACGTGCGGAAATTCATTTTAATATTCAGATACAAGGGCATACGTTTTCGATAGCCACCTTTCATAATCATAAGGCCGACAGAGAGCGTGTCGTAATTTGCAATCACCTGTGGTCCACAGATGAAGCTGTATGTTCTGATAGCCTTATAGTGTGTACGTCGCAAACTTGCCTCACCCAATGCCAGGCTTGCACTGTAAATAGAGAGAGTATTGCGATAACCTCAACTGTAGGACTGAAACGAACACAATTTCTCAGCAATCGAACGTTCTTGACTCTAACGAACGAACCAAAGAACAAATGTTCTTGATTGATAATTCACGCAAATCGTCAGAGTTCTGACAAGGGCATGAATACCCGCCACATGATACAGGCAAAAAGTATACTTCAAGGAGGAAACCAACGCCATTGACATGACAACCTTCAGCGACCTTGCTTCGCTCTCCGTTGAGAGCAACATCGCCCCAGAAACGCTGTCAGATGGCTCAGTACGGTTGTACGCTGATTGTAATAAAACATTTGTGTCGAGCATATTGGGAAAAAAATTTCAGTTCTAACATTCGTTACCACACAAATGTTCATTCTGCAAAGCTAAATTAACGAATATTTGAATAGTCGAGATTTCAGCCCTATACTAAAGCATGTCTTATGCACGGCTTTCCCTTCCCAACGGTGCATGATTCTCCCACAATTGCGAATTTCGACCAAATTATTGATTACGAAATTTCCCATGTGGGCCATTTTGTGGGTAAAATGGCTAAATATGGCTTTTGAGAAGAATATCATAACTGTTCATCTAGATTTTGATTGTGAAGGGCTGCACTAAAGCTGATTTCTTGCTCATGATATTCAACTCCGAAGAAACAATCAAGTTAGAAACAAATCTAAAACATGCATTTGCAATCAAACCAGTCGTCGCACTCCACGAGACACAGGTTAACGCAATGCAAAGATAGAATGAAACCATGGACCTACACTTTTATCCTTCTCCAGCCGGGTCAGGACACGCGCAGCGAAATCTTTTCTCTTCCGTGCCGGTGCCGGCTTGCTCTTCTTCTTTCGGCCGTACTGCGGATGGGAGCATCTCTTCTTTCCATTCTTCTGCTTGACATCATAGCAATACAGGCACACAACAACAGACCACGGTCATCATACCCCTCACACACCTGGCAAATAACAAAAACCATCCACATGGATCACTGCATTCTCAATCAAATATTGTCTAGTTTTCTTTTCTTTTCCTTTTCACTTATCCCGTTATCAGCCCTCTTAAGAGTTGTGTATATCACTGTTGAGGCATCCGATGGTAAGAAAATTAATACCACTACTGGTCATTGACAAGTGACGGCTCTACGGCTTCAGGAAGGCATTGGCTAATGAAATAAAGCTCTCACTACTTGGCGGTGGTCAATCATGTTGTGGACAGTTTCTTGCCTGTGTTGGTCGTGCCTTGCCATGTCGCCGTCCAATTGATCTGCCAGCGCGCGGAACAGACAATTCCTGAAGGTACCAGTGACAACAATGTGAATCGACAACAAGGATTACACATCAACACCAGGGTATACTGATGCAGGTAGCGGTATTGACAACAAGGATGACACTTCAACACCAGGGTATACTGATGCAGGTAGCAGTATTGATACCAAGGATGACACATCAACACCAGCGTATACTGATGCAGGTAGCGGTATTGACAACAAGGATGACACATCCACACCAGGGTATACTGATGCAGGTAGCGGTATTGACAACAAGGATGACACATCAACACCAGAGTATACTGATGCAGGTAGCGGTATTGACAACAAGGATGACACATCAACACCAGCGTATACTGATGCAGGTAGCGGTATTGACAACAAGGATGACACATCAACACCAGGGTATACTGATGCAGGTAGCGGTATTGATAACAAGGATGACACATCAACAACAGGGTATACTGATGCAGGTAGCGGTATTGACAACAAGGATGACACATCAACACCAGGGTATACTGATGCAGGTAGCGGTATTGACAACAAGGATGACACATCAACACCAGGGTATACTGATGCGGGTAGCGGTATTGACAACAAGGATGACACATCAACACCAGGGTATACATGAAGACACTATTCAATACTACAATAGAGGGCCCTATTTTTTTCCAATGCTGGCACATTTATGTCATCCAGCATTAGGCCTGGGCGGATAATGCTAGCATTATAGGTAGCATTATAGTGTGCGATTTGCAACGGGCACTATGCTAGCATTATAACACTATTTTGTATTGTATTTATTTAAAAGGATTCTCCAAAAGCAAATGGATGCTTATCACGGAAGTCTCCCACATAAATATCGCAAGAAAAATGGGGAAATGGGGGAGAGGAGAGTGGAAGATGAAGCATGGGAAGAAGGGAAACAAGTACCTAAATATCGAGGTATAAAAGCAGGAAAGAAATCGACGAGGGAAGAAATCACCTCTGCAGATAATAGCGGGACATTTAGATGAAAAAAACCCAGCAAGGATTAATTTCAAGGAAAAAAATTTCTCAAACGGAAAAGTTCGGAATTCCAGTCAGAGAATATCTATGCTGAGAGTAATGAGCCTTTAGAGCAATGCGAAAATTGACAGAGGACTGAACGCAGCGGATGCGTTCTGGAAGTTTGTTCCATTGCACAGATAAACTGAAGAGAGGGGATTTAAGGAAATGGGCGCCAGAACGAGGTAAAACTATAGAGGACGGGTGACGACAACTAAAAGATACATTGAATTTGAAACGAATTAGCAAAGACGGACTACATTTCCACAAAAGTGGCATTATACTCAAATGGCCCTTACTTCTGCGAAAACCAGGCTTAGTTACTTATAGTTAGGGTGAAAATCATTTTTTTGAGAAAAATGATGTTTTGTAAAAAGGTTGTGTCGCGTGGACGGTCGAGTGCAGTGAAGTGGAACCAAAGAGAACCTAGCTTGTTTGAACAAGTAGCAGTCATGGCAGGAAGGGTTTCAGCAGTCAAGGAAATCAAAGGGCTTCCGGTAGAATATTCCCTGCTACTCCTCTAGTCACAACGAAGAGTTTTTGAGCTGATCAAACGGATTCCATCTGCTACACTCAGGGATGGCGAAATTTCTGCCCTAGCTGCTGCTTGCGGAAAATGGTGAAGAAATCGTGTCCAGTTAGAGTCGTGATGGCGATAGTGAGGAGAACCTGGACGACATCGATCCAGCCAATCGAAGTACGGAGATACTAGCTGTTTCTGGGCCTCACACAAAGGGAACACGCGCAGCAGAGCTCATACGTTTGCAGCAAGTTCACGAGGAAAAAGCCTTAAAGCGCAGTGTGAAAACTGTTTTGCATTGAAGTCCTTGGCGATGAAGTGCTACTGAATGCCAGGCGAATGAGCGAGCAGATCGAGAGACCTCCACTCGAGACTTTCCTCGCTGGACAGCTAGGTGCAAGGGATTGTATGAAGCAATAGCAGCATACAATAAGCATTATGATCATGATTATCTAGTATTTTCCATGCTGTCTACGTAGAACTACGAAACGTGCACAATACTGCCCAAACCAAGCCATTTTTCATACTTACTGCTGGTGAATTGCTGGCATTACAGAGGAACAGCAGCATTATAAGTAGCATTATGATACAGTTTTTCTGGCATTGCCATTGGCATTATCACGCAAAATAACTAGCATTGTCCGCCCGGGCCTATCCAGCATGGTAGATGTCCTTAAGCCAGGGTCCATGGTTCGAGTCCTGGTGGTGACAGTCAACTTTTTTCTTCAGACCTTTCCCGTTTGCAACTTTCCCTCGAACTGATGGATATTCGGTAGATGTGTTGGGTTTTTTTCTACACCAAATGGTAGATTCTGCTTTCCTCTACCGGCTCTACCAGGTTTGAGGCTGGTAGAAGTCGGTAGAGGTACGGCATTTCTGTCCTTGTGGGACCATGAGAGCTGTTTCCCACAAAATATCATAATATTATCGTACAGTAAAATCGACGTTCTACCGAAACTGGTAGATCTGCGTTCGGAAACTATCATCTACTCTCCTTTCTTTTTCCAACAACCACTCTACTCAATTTCAAATGGTGAACGGTACTATTCGGCCAATAAAATGTAAAGAACTCTTTCTCCCCTCTCCTCCATGCGCTCTCACAGCTGACTCACTGCTACCTCGGTAGCCAATACACACACCAACAGCAATACAAGGAAGGTAGATACTGTCATTCTTCCTCACAGCTGCTTCGCCTTCATAAGGCTCATCAGACAAGGTGATATTGAATAGGATGATATTATAACAGAGACCAGCGCTATTTCCAGGGATTATTTGCGCCATGACAAAAATCTACTCTTGGTTTTGCTTCAGCGTACCGGATACCATGCACACTGTACACTGTAGTACATGATTGTGCACAATTTGCACTGCGTACTTACCCATCTCCCGGGACATCCTTGATTTTCAAGCCTTTTGCCTGCAGCTGGTTAGCAAAGCTGATGAATTCAACATCGTCCTCTTCCAGGTAGTTTTCTCTCTTGCTTTGTCTCTTATGTTTCAAAGCTGGCTTTGCCGACCGCTCCTCTCGCTTACGTCCTTCCTCCTTGTGACGCTTACTTTTGGATTGTTTTTTCTTTGCCATTCTGATCAAAATGTGTCGGACAGCAGCTACTGCGGTATGCACGACGACAAGGCAATCCTGCTCTTCGGATGACACAGACTGAGACTACAGTACTACTCGAAACAGACAGTGGATGTTGCTATTACTAGCACTGCCTAATCAGTATGCCAGTTATCACGATAGAGTGGAAGACGAATGCTCAACTTGAAAAGAATACAATAAAATAGAACTGTTCCTCTAGCTCTTACAGCATGAACAACAATAACAAGCAGATAGCTGTACGTGTGTGTTTTGCAGATCAGCGAGAATCAGTAAAAACAGGAGACTGCAACTGTGATCGCGCGAAAGTAGGTCTACGCGGCATGGCGCCTACGTAACTCGTTAATAGACCCTTTGCACAATAAGCGAGAGCGGTCGAGACGTGGCATGCTGTGCGCGCGCTGCACACTTGGCATGCAATCAGCATGCATGGTTTGCTAAATTGCTTGTGTCAGCCGCATGAATGATGTGACCGTAATTAACGTAGGCGCCATGCCGCGTAGACCTAGCTACGCGCGATCACAGTTGCAGTCTCCTGTTTTTACTGATTCTCGCTGATCTTCTAAACACACACGGACAGCTATCTGCTTGTTATTGTTGTTCATGTTGTGAGAGCTAGAAGAACAGTTCTATTTTTATTGTAAATTATTTAAATTTTAATTATCTTAAAGTAGTCTTCACTCACTCAAGTGACTACATAGTAGAGAGTAGATGTACGTAACCTCGTTCCCACGTCAACGGTCAAGCTGCCTGAAAACTCGTAATAACCGCCGCAGTGAAAGGGTTTCAAATGTCCAATAATCTGTACAAGTACATTAAGAGCACCAATGCATCAAGTAACGGTTAGTTATGAATAGGATGAAGGCCACAGACATCACGCAACTACCTTACTTGTTTGACATGTATTACTGTAGCATTATAGTAATAATGCAGATTAATAGGTGCACGCGGCTGCTTCGTGCTACCACTCAAACTATGCTGCTATGATTGCTGGCGCTTTACTGCACATGCATGCTCATGCTTTGCTGCTGGCAACAGTCACGTGCGCTGGACACCACGGTATCGGTCACGGTATCGGTCACACGCCTTGGTGCATGCTCACATGGTACTCCATGCGTCGTGGCATTATATGTGTCATTCAACGTGGCACTCAACAGTACATTCATTCATGCGCGACGCTCAACGTAGGCGGCATGGGTCGTGGGCACTCAACGTGTCATACTATTGTAACCGGCGTTCATGTGTGTCGCTCGCCTCCGATGTGGAAAGCGTGCGGCGGCGCGCGGCGTGTGGAGTTCATGCGTGTCGCTCGCCTCCGATGTGGAAAGCGTGTGGCCGCGTTATGATGACGTTTGCTTGTAGCTCAACGTGGGTGGGATGCATCGTTGCATGTCTTGCTAGAGTTTGCTCTGCTATTATTAATTTTCGATCCGTTCTGTGCGACGATCATTCTTGCTTGCTCGTAGTGTTTTAGTCATTATAATTATTTCGATCCGTTCTGTGTGTGGATCACTCTTGTCAGATCATTGCGTTTCACAGTTCTCTTGGGTTTGAATAATTCGGGCAGGAAAGCAGCCCTCGCCGATCGCCTGTTTCAGTGTTTCACAGTTTGTATTTTGCTCGTTCTCATCCTTGTGCTTTGCCTCGTTCTCATCCTTGTTGTCGCGAGCCATGGCTGCCTTCACTGTCATTGAAATTCGCGCCATGACGGTTCTGCGTCTCCGCAGCGAACTCTCGCTCTTCAGTTTGAAAAATTCGGGCAGGAAAGCTGCCCTCGCCGATCGCCTGTTTCAGTGTACTTCACCACGCTGAATCCTGCCATTCTACCCCGAGCGCGGCGAGCGGAGCAGGAAGCTTCTAGGCTAAGCCTTCGCCGTCATTTTATCCCGTTTGAATGTGCGAAATGAAATAAAAACCAACCAACCAACCAAGCAGAGAACGCGAGTCATTGGCGACGTCTGCGTCACCAACGTCAGCTATAACTCTGGAGACCTTGCGCTCCACGATTGCTTCGATGGTTTCAGAGACGTTACCAGTGTCTGCTCTAGGATTGTAGGACAGCCGGGTACACGTGTACCTGGCGCAACCATTTCAACCGGGTCGTAACCGGGTACACATGTACCTGGCGCTGTCTCACCAGCCGAGGCACATGCTTTAAAGGGGAAGTATACCCTAAAATCAAATTTTCACCAGTTGTAGTCTTCGGGGTGCTGAGTCGAATGGCCTTGGTCCGAGGAAGCTGAGACGCTCCCTTCCTACTTGAATCCCAATCGAACTCGCGCACTTCCACCGAAACTGGGTGACTGCGCCCTACTAGATGGGGATTTGTATGCAAAATGTCACTAAAAGCGCCATTTCGTTCTTATAAAAGCACGGATGACCGCGATTGGCCCATATGTTGTAGTCTTTTGGACGCTGAGTCGACTGGTTTTGGTCCGAAAAGGCTGCGATGCAGCGTTCCACCTTTATTCCCAATCGAACATGGTTGAACAAGCGGTCACGTGCTCCTGCGTACACCAGCCACCTGGTCACCGTGCCGGCAGGGTACACCTTACTAGCCTGTTTGACCTTTTTTGGGTGCAGTCCTGTCACTCGAGTTGAACTCGAGTTGAACCTTGGTGTGAAAGTTGTCGCCTGCTGGCGCGGTGACCAGGTGATTTGGGCACCCAGGAGCACGTGACCGCTTGTTCAACCATGTTCGATTGGGAATAAAGGAGGAACGCTGCATCGCAGCCTTTTCGGACCAAAACCAGTCGACTCAGCGCCCAAAAGACTACAACATATGGGCCAATCGCGGTCATCCGGGCTTTTATAAGAACGAAATGGCGCTTTTAGTGACATTTTGCATACAAATCCCCATCTAGTAGGGCGCAGTCACCCAGTTTCGGTGGAAGTGCGCGAGTTCGATTGGGATTCAAGTAGGAAGGGAGCGTCTCAGCTTCCTCGGACCAAGACCATTCGACTCAGCACCCCGAAGACTACAACTGGTGGAAATTTGATTTTAGGGTATAAAGTAAATAAAGTAAATTATCGTATCCGTTCCCGAAGGGAACTCACGACGGCCGCTAACACCCGATAAACCCTGGTATACTTCCCCTTTAACTGGTTGGTTGGTTTATTTTAATTCGGACAATAAACGGGAACTAGGTCCAAGGACATAAAGGCGAATGGATAAGCCGCATTTAGAAAAGAGAGGGCAGGAATTAGAAAATTACGAAAGAAGAAGAAGTATCTGACACATACAAGCCATGTGGTCAGTCCTTTCAAAGTTCGAAAGTGTAAAGTACCAACCGGGTCACAGGTGACCCGGTACTATATTTTCAACCGGGTCCAAGCGCCGCCCAACCGGGTGGATTACCCGGCTCACCCGGCGATGGAGCAGGCACTGGTTACCTACAAGTCTGGCGGCCGTGGATTCACAACCTCATCCGCACCAGGGCCCTCACCCAGCCAGCTTAGGGAGCAGCAAGTCTTTCGCTGTACACCTGGGCACTGACTAAGGGCCGGGTTCCACTGCGGCTCGCGTCCGCGTTGCGTGAGTCAGAAACGCATGCTGACGCGAAGCCCCTCTGTTCCACACTACAATCGTCACGCGAGGTTCCGCGGGCAGAATCGGCTGCAAATTTGTGTAAAAGGTGGAAATTCAGCTCTAAAGTCGCAGCCACCTTTCGCAGATAATAGGGCTTGAAAGTGATGACGTCAAAACGGCCAGGGAGTACTAAGTTGACATCAGATTTCTATTTTGGATCCACTAAGGTGTGACAGATAATGCCAACAACAATCCCATTCTGAGGACCGAAGTCGAATACGCTATCAACTCCCTCAAGAACAACAAATCAGCGGGGTTCGATAACATTCCTGGCGAGCTTTTGCGACATGGTGGAGATACGTTGGTGGCTGTTATGCACAGGATTTGTGACCTCGCATGGACGAATGGTAGATGGCCAACATCATGGACAAGGTCCATTCTTGTTCCCATCACTAAGTCTGGAGACCTTCGGCAGTGCCAAAACTACAGGACAGTGAGCCTCATCAGTCATCCGAGCAAAGTGCTACTGAGGATCTTGCTGAAGCAAGTGGAGGGTTTGCTGGCAGACGAGCAAGCAGGGTTCCGGAAGGGAAGAAGCACAGTGGAGCAAATCTTCAACCTCAGAATGTTAATTGAAAAGTACCGTGACCATCAGCAGGCTGTGTATCATTGCTTCATCGATTTCCGTAAGGCCTTTGATAGGGTTTGGCACAAAGCGCTATTCAAGATTATGAGAGCGCATGGCATCGAAGCAAGAATTGTGGACCTGATTGAAGCGCTTTACGCTACTACTGAAGCTGCCATCGTTGTTGGATCCACTATCACCGTCTGGTTCACCACGTCAGTGGGTGTCAGGCAGGGCTGTTTACTCTCGCCTTGTCTGTTCAACGTATTCCTGGAGTACATCATGTCTGACGCTTTGGAGGAGTTTGATGGGTCAGTATGTATCGGCGGCATGTGCGTGACCAACCTACGTTTTGCGGATGATATAGATCTAATCGCATCGTCTGTGGAAGAGCTGATGGACCTGACCGAGCGCGTGGATACGAGTGCAACAAGACTAGGCATGCAGATCAATGCTTCCAAGACCAAGTCAATGGCAGCGCCGGAGGGCGGTGGTGATCTGGGGTGCATTCAAGTAGGCAATGAGCGAATAGAAGAGGTATCCCAGTTTAAATACTTAGGTGCCGGAATCACGTCGGATGGCAAGTCCGATGTGGAGATAAGAAGACGCTTAGCACTAGGGAAGCAAAAGATCATTGAGCTTCAATTCATTTGGAAATCGCCATCACTTTCTTTGCCTACTAAATTTCGTTTTGTTAGGTCTATTGTGCTAGCGACTGTTTTATACGGATGCCAATCTTGGACATTATCTGCCTCATCAATGAGAAGAATTTCATCCTTCGAGATGAAATGCTTCCGCCGACTCTTAGGAGTTACATACCACGACCGGCGTACCAACCAATCTATCCTGGAAGAAATTAATGACATCATCGGAGCAAGAATGCGGCTAGCGAACGAAGTCAAGAAATTTAAGTTGATGTGGTTTGGCCATGTTACGAGACATGACGTTTTCTCCAAGCCCTTCCTGCAAGGATCAACTCCTGGATCTCGACCGAGAGGAACGCCCGCAACATCATGGATTTCTAACATTAAAAGTTGGACGGGT